TCAGTGAGGTGAGAAGGTGAGAGGAGAAAAGAGGAGAGGAGGAGAGAGGAAGAGAAGAGGGGAGAAAGATCAATATCATCAACTAGTAGAGATAGAGGGAGGAGGAAAGGACATTATCACTCCATGATGGACAAATTATTATCATTATCGTTCTGTACATAAGACGAACTATTATCACTATCATTATCTATGTTATGTACGTGTACAAGCAGACAGTCTGGCCACAGTTACCTCCTTTGCCTGCGCGGTGTAGCGACTCTGAAGCTGCTGGTTCTCTCGCTCCATCTCCTCCAGACGTGCTTGGCTCTCCTGGGTCTGGGGGAACAACAGACATAGATAAAAATGGGCTCGTTTCAGAGAAAGCGAGAGACAGAGAGAGAGTTAGTCGAGGATCAGATCCCGTATATCAGAACAGACAATGAGCTCATCACAGAGAGAGACAGAGACAGAGACAGAGACAGAGAGAGCAAGAGAGACAGAGACAGAGACAGAGAGAGCAAGAGAGACAGAGACAGAGAGACAGAGAAAGCGAGAGAGAGAGAAAGAGAGAGAGAGAGAAAGCGACAGAGAGAGAGAGAGAAAGCGAGAGAGAGAAAGAGAAAGAGAGAGAGAGAGAGAGCGAGAGGGAGACAGAGAGAGAGAGAGGTATTTCAGTGTAAGAATCTTCACATGTGACTGTCAAAGTAGAAATAATAATGGCACTTACAACAATATCAATATGACAATAATATAGTTATAACAATAAAAATGACAACAATAATAGTAATAACAATAACATACCAAACCGTAGACAATTATGTAGAGCTGGGGGGGGAAACAAGACAAAAGAGAAATGAAAGATGGATAAGAAAGAAAAAAGTACCAGAGGCACAGAGACAGCATCTTCAACCATCAGAAAACGTTTGTGTTTTATTCACTAAAAACTGTTTCCCTCACCCTGGCAGTAGCATATTTGATTCCCCACCCCAACCGGTCCCACTGTCACCTCTGACAGTCACCTCATCATGGCAGTAGCCTGTTTTAGTTAGCTCCTCCTTCAGCTGTTTCACCATCTCCCCTCACCCCCTTCCCTTTCAACCATCCCCTCCACCTCCCTCCCACCCACCTTGGCACTAGCCTGTTTTAGCTCCTCCTTCAGCTGTTTCACCATCTCCCCCACTCCCTCCCCACACTCTCCCCATCCCCCTCCCACTCCCCACTCTCCCCATCCTCTCCCACTCCCCACACTCTCCCCATCCCCTCTCCCCCACCCACCTTGGCAGTAGCCTGTTTGAGCTCCTCCTTCAGCTGTTTCACCATCTCCCCCCGATGCTGGGCGCTGCTCAAAGCCTCCCGCAGTTTCTCTTCGATGTCACGGTTCTCCCCACGCAGCTTCTGGATGGTCTCTTGCCGGTCAGACACCTGGGACAAACAGCCACCAGTCAGTGTTCTTGTGTTTGGGTAAAGCAACGGTCACTCACTTAGTGCTGGGAAAAAGCAGGACAGACAGACACAAAAAGAACCCAGTGGTGGCGCCCTCCAACCACCCATCATCAGCACAATAAAGTGAACGTGGCAACCAAACTGATTTCTCCACAATTCCTTATTACGTAGAGGGTAACTTTGGTTCAGCCATCCACAAAGACAGGTTCTGGAAACTTCATGGGACAAGACAAAAGTCCAAACATTCTCCACAGTCTGCTGTAGTTGTCAATACTCCAGCATGACGCATGTCTGTGGTGTAGTGGTTAGGCACTCGCATTCTATTCCTGAGAGAGGAGAGTCTTTTATGAATATCTCAGTCTTTCTCGTGGGATGTTGTATTCCTCTCAGCCCGGGTTGGCCCTGACAAGCAGGGTCTAAGCAGCCCGTCTCCAAAATGATTTAAATTGTGTCAATAGGGCTGTAAAATACTTAAAAGCAAAAAACAAACAAACAAACAGAAACATGTATTAAGGCTCACAAACAGACCTGATACTAGAAGATACTGCACAGTGTTGCAGAGAAGTTTGACAAATAATAATATGAGCAGTAGTGAAAAAAAGCAAAACTAAAAAGCAAATAATTTTTTTGGTCAAATAATAAGAGAAGTCTAAACTTCCATAGCCTACAGTATTAGTAGAATCTAAAGGAGGTTGGAGAGTGGGGTGGGGGGGCTGTCAGTCGCTGATGGATGTCAGTCGCTGAAACAAAAACTGTGTTCAGGGAAGAAATCCCTGCTGCTTACCACCATGACACACTCTAAAACTGAAGTAAAACTGACAGCCTGAGGACATGTTTGAGGCACATATTGGAGCAAACAAGTTACTGGATTTGTAGAAAGCTAACATATTCATATTGTCAAAAGATAACATATTGATATTGTTCAAAGATAACATATTGATACAGAAACTTAACATACTGATATTGTTGAATGATTACATATTGATATTAAAAGTTAAAATAATGATATTGTTGAAAGTTGTCATATTGATTTTGTTGACAGCAGCCAATTAAGCAGGATAAAGAAGCCCCTAACCAAATCCTATCCCAAACATTTTAAGAAAAAGAAAGCTGCTAACCGTAGCATCTTAAAAGGCATATGTAATATACCACAAGCAACATCTGATCGCTGTCTCCTACGTGAAAGGCATGCGTAACAAGTATCATGGCACGGGGAATCAGGTGCTCATCAATTTTTGGGCATAAGGATTTATTGGTACCATCTTAATAAAGCCTGTTCATTTGCATTCCTTTCGGTGGAAAAAATACTCCTGCACATTTAATGGATGTCAAGATACTTGCAACTAAAGGAAGTAGGGATCTCTTGGAGTTAGAGGTAAAATTAGCAAAAAAATGGCCGCCAAAGTTTGGCCACTTCCCAAGTTTGAGTGTCCATGGAAACTGCAAATTAACACTTTCTGTGCCTTCACCTCCCTCCCCTTGGCCCCCTACCAAGCTTACCTCGGAAGTGAGAGTGTCTCTCGTGTCTTTAGAAGAACTCTGAAGTCGTTGGAGACTGACCGTCAGTTTTTTCACCTGTTACAGGAAACAGCCCCAGAAGCCAAGAGGGTCAGTGCCATTTAACAGTTAAGGGAAAGAGTGTGCAGAGTACGTGTGGGACAACGTGAGGGACAGTGTGCAAGAGTATGTGTGGGACAGTGTGAGGGACAGTGTTGGGGGATCAAGTTCCCAAGATTTAACTCTTTGGGGATGCACATTAGACAACATTATCAGATGTACTCTTCTTTGGAGAAAAAAAAGCATAAATTTGTGATCAATACAGGTTTTTTCACTTCTCGTTTTTTTATCTGAAACTTTAATTTAAAATTTTAAAAACAAGATAAAAACCCATATTATTGAACTTTGTAAATTCATTTTTCTGATTTTTTGTTTGTTTGATGGGTCGAAATGAGCAGCAACATTGCCTTTTTGACTGCAGACGATCTTGACATACATGTCTGTTACATCCTTAAAGAGTTAAGGCGAAGCGACAAAAGAAGGAAGACACCCTCCCCAGAAAGAGAATAATTCACTCAGAGGAGGAGGAGGAGGGAGATTAAACAGCAAGAGGAAGATTGTGAAAAAACAAATGAAATAAAAAAATGGTAATAATCAAAAACAAAAGAGAGACCCCCAAAAAAGTAAGACGAGACACTCAATCACACTTCTTTCACAAGAAGAACAGTCACACACAGTTGTTAGACTGAGACCCCTTTGCAGGGACAAGAGATGATGACAACACACTCATTTTCCCCACTACCGTTCCTGATCACTCTCTATTTCTTTTCAATCTTATTAGTGTCATCCCCACCTCTACGAACCCCCGTACCCTTGCAACCTAGATCTCTCTGTCTCTGTCTCTCTGTCTATCTGTCTCTGTCTCTGTCTCTCTCTCTCTATCTACCTATCTATGCTTCCCTCCCCATTCTCCTCTCATATCCTATCCTGAGACTTCTATAAACCCTTCAGTTTTTCATCTCTTGTTTTATCTCAGCAGCAGAAGACAGAATATTCTGGCACTTCACAGTTCACAGACACACATTCACACAGACACACATTCACATCAAAACTACAGACTCACAAACTCACACAATCTCAACATCAACACAGTCGTGATAACAAATAAACAAATAAAAATTATTGAAATAAATCCAAATAACTGGGAAAACTATGAAGAACTGAACAAAAAATATCAACAAAAGTGAGAAGATAAGCAAATAAATAACTGAAACGGGTTTAATGAAAATGAATATAATTCTACTTAGTCTGCAGCAAGTCCAAAAAACTGTACAATAAATTTGTCAATATTCCAAAACTCTGCGTAATCTTATTCCAAATCGGTGTTTGCCAATCTTTGTATAGTCATTGCCCACTTTGCAACGATTATGAGGCTTAACTTTTCTCATCGCCCACCTCCAAGTATTTCCAGTTGGGTTGTATAATAACAACTGTCACTACCTGGGTGATCCCCAACGCTAAACAAAATTACCAAATCGCCCACTGGTGGGATATACAAACTGTACTAACTAATGATCACAAAATTCACAAAGAGCAACAAGCAAGTTTTGTGAAAGATATCATTGTAAGAATAAACAATATTTCTTTTTCAATAATGTGAGTTCAGTAAAGTAGGTGTTAATGCAAAAATTGTGTGAACATGACATTTCTTTCTTTGCCAAATCATAAGATACTGTTGTATTTGAGATATACATTGTGTGAGAACAGAATAACAAACAGGTTGTTGTATTAACGTTAGTCCAGGGGGGGAGGGGTGGTCTCCAAAGCACACGGGGTGGGTGGGCAGTGGTGTTGGTAGATACTAGGGTTAGACAAGCCAAAGGGACAAACAGACGGACTGCTGGACACACTGATTAAACTCTGGTTGGTGCCCAGCCGAACATTAACACAAACACAAACTTTTAGTCTCCCCCACGACCCATGATAAAAAGCAAAAAGACTGACTGGACTTCTCGTTTTCAGCAGGCTACAAACAAACCACACTACACATACAATTATTATATGTCTGCATTGAACTCACAGAGAGTCATATCTTTATAACTCTCATATAAAACAAATGACTTAAAATGTAGAGGAAGCAGAAGGACAGACAGACACACAGACAGACACAGACACAGACACAGACACACACACACACACACACACACACACACACACACACACACACACACACTACAAGCCAATTCAACTATTTCCCCTGCCCCCACATCCTTGACCC